GCGTTTTCGAAAATACGAAACGACACTTCGCGAGTTATTACGAACTATTTTATTTATAAGAGGCGACATAGGTATGCATGCGCGTGAATATGTGTGTGTGCAAATGTTTGCGAGGAAGAGAGCGAGCTCTAGAAAAAGCGATCGATGCGAATAGAAACAGATACGAATTCGCGTGATGCGGGAAGAGACGAAAACCGAGAGAAGGAAACAGAGAGTGAGCGAGCGAGAAAGAGAGAGAGAAAGAAGAGTGTATGTGTGCGTGTGTGTTTGCGAATATGTGCGAAAGAGAAAGAGGCAAAAACGCGGAAGTGGGATAGGAAGAATGCCGAAACTCTGCCATCGCAAAACGATCCCAGACGGGAGATTGGGGTTGAAAGAAATCTTTCGAGGAGAGAACGTGTAAAAAAAAATGTATAAGTTTCTTTTTTTTCTTTATACTCCGAGCGCGGACAGGGTGGCAGGGATTCGTGGCTATGCCGTTGAGTGTAACTCACCCTTTTTGTTTGTATAAAAATTAATCGAAATTGAATTAGATTATTAATAACTGTTCGATTACTGTAAAACAAAAGAAAACTTTACCATTAATTATAAATTACAAAAAATTGGAGCACCATGGATTTTTTTTATTTGCGACCCCTGATTGTTTCCTCGTATCCGTTCCCTAAACCATAACGCAGTGACAAGTCATATACAAATAATCACAAACGAATTACGTGAACTGCAAACATTATTATTTTTACAATTGTATACAATATAATGTTTTAGAAAAAAATTCATCGGATCTTATTGTTAGTTAGACGAACGATCTAAAATTATATCGGACGCGCGTTCGGCCATCGCGACGAGAACTGAATTCGGCGTGCCGGAAATTGGAGACGGCACTACGCTGGCGTCCATTATCCTCAATCCACTCACGCCTTTTACCCTAGGGAAACGTAATTATAATTTTATTACAATTACTCCACTCATCCCAGATCTCGTCCTTTAAGACGTCCTTTAAACGCTCCATCGTTTTACCTTAATTCCTCATCTACGACCGCGTCGTCGTCGGCGCCTATTCTGCATGTGCCACACGGATGGTGGCTCGTGAGTCCTGCGATTCTCATGACGCACTCCGAATAATCGACGTCTCGATAGTCCTGTCGCAAATGACGGCACTCTTCGAAATCGGGAACGTGGACCTTCGCGCCGTACTCGCGGAAGAGTCTCGTATTGAGAGTCTCCAGCGCGAAGTTTATAGCTTACAATACGGATAATCGTCAAAATTAGTTATCGTCAATTTAAATTAATTCACGCTAAACAGGTGCAAATAAGTTCTACGATTTACTCTTTTCACGAGAGTAAAATTTGTCTCGACATGCGAAACGATCACCTTTACCTCCATACGTGCACGTGACGTCGTCGGGATCCTGAAGATACGCGGGATTAATTTTTGGAGGGTCGCGGATGTCATTTGATCTCAACGTTACGCTTCCGCGACTCTTCGGTTGCAAACACGAAACCAGATAAATAAATCCCTCGTGCATGCTGTCGTTGTACGACGGAAATAGCGACCTGTACGCCTAATGAATGATTGTTTATTCTCCTCGATCGTACAATGACCATTAAATTATAAATGATAATCACTACGAATATAAAATAGAATAGAACGTTATAATTAGACGCGACGGAAAATGCGGTTGTCCGTCGAAAAACAACAACTACGGCACATTATTTTAGCTAAAGTCCAAATATATAACTGCTAGGTGGTTCATTCACCTCGGTCTCGAAATTTGAGATGGCCTTGAGCAATTTTTCCTCCGCGGACGCCACTCCGAAGAGGAGGAGGCCACTGTTATTAGCACGCCCAAATCCCATTACGCCGTTAGTGGCCAACCATCCTTTGACATGCAATGGAGAAAAAGGTATAACGGCGAGATTATAACGTCGATCGCGTTATGGGAGGGGTGTCTATATAGGCATCGCAAAGTAAATCACAGCGTCGTTATTGGCGCGTTATCGCATTTACCGGTTCCGAAGGCGAAATAATTGAACACCTCGGGTACAGTTTGCAGCTTCACGAGCGTGATACTGACGCGTTCCCGCAGATTCACGTAAACGGGCACGTTCAGGTGATCGAACAGATTCTGGCCTACCCCCGGAAGATATTGCACCACGGGTATCTGGAGAGATCGAATTTATTGTTATGCTCGAAATTCGAAAAAGTTTGACGATGACGTCCCGATTTATCACCTTATGCTTTTTCAATTCGTTGACAGGCCCTACGCCGGAAATCAAAAGTAACTGCGGGGTATTGATAGTGCCCGCGCAAAGGATCACCTCCTTCCTCGCGCCGATTCTCCCGACGGAATCGTCTTTATATATCACTTTAACGCCATCGACTTTGTCATTCTTGAAAAGTATCTATAGCGTCGAATAAAAAAAAAATAAAACAAAAAATGTATATCTATATCAACAAAATTAAAGAGCTAAAATATACAAATAATTATTTCTATAACTTATAACTTATGTATATAATTTTTTTAATATAACTTATGAAAATAGTGGAGTATGTTTTCCGAAAAAAAGAGATGGTTTATCGAATATTTTTTTCTTCCCAGCGTGATATATAAAATAAAAATTATTGAGACCTTGACGACGAGTGTATTCATCAGGATATGCAAATTCTTGCGATTCCAAGCCTTTCGCAAATACGCGTGATGAGTACTCCATCTGGTTCCCTTTTTCGCGGTGTACATCGCTTTCCGCAAGGATACGTTATCCAACTTCAGCGATTCCTCGGCCAGGACGAAGGCCTTTGTTAAGTACTCTTCCTCCGGCATCGGGATAACATTCATAATGTCGGACACTTTTTGAAAGTAGGGGAGCAGGTCGGCGTGCGACCAACCCTTCGGCCATTTCTTGTAGTCCTCGGGCCTCCCGAAGGAGTGAACGAGATAATTAAGCTGCCCGCTCCCTCCAAGACCTTTCCCCCTCGGGCAGTTTTGTTTCTAAACAAACGTGACCAATGAAGGGCTTTGCCACCTTAAGGCAAAATGCGCGATTCCAAATTCGGGAGTGCGAATTTTCGAAATATTTTTATACTATAAAAATATGTCTTACGAGATGTGACATGATCTTTTTGATTAATACTATTATTATTCGTCAGCGTATGAAATGTGCCATATTTTCGTGCTTTGTGAGAGTTACGCTACATGGTAGGAAATTTTTACAGAAATCGTTCTCGCGAAACGGAAATTCCTTCACCAGAGGATAGAGCTTTAATTACATAGCCGTGGAGCCCTCGGGACGAGAAGACTTGCGGCTCCGTTTGGTAGGCCCAATCGACCTCGGTGCCTTGCATCATCGGCGCTAAGAGCGGCACAGTCGATAGCCATCCGAAGTATCCGCCGGCCTCCACAAGCAAAACGGTCACGTTCGGCATTTCTGAGAGCCGTGATGCAATCACGCAGCCAGACGTACCCGCGCCGACTTGAACCCCGACGCAGCAACGAGAAGCGCAGTTTTTATTATAAGTTTCAAGTGCAAATGTTTATTATAGATTGTACGTCAAATTCATGTGCGGTTCTTCTTCTTCATTAAAAAAAATGTTAGCGGTAATACAAATATCAGCCGTCGAGATTATTAAATTAAATTTTGGATATGCAAATTTTTATATAAATCAAAAATATAAAACAAGCAGAAGAACTTGAAGGCAACTTTATAATTTTGCTTATAGAAAAAAGGAGATAATCGTATCGGAATTGGTATTTCCTGTCTGTTTATTCTAAAGCGTCTAAGAGGCACCTACCAATCTAGCACAATGCGATTTGCGTTAATTCTCTTTGATTAAAAATCGATGCTGCGTGTTTCGGAATACGAAGCGGAAGAAGAAGAGTGCTGGGACCGCGAGGGGTGCCCGCGACCCGATAAAACGTAAACCGGGAAGCGAAACTCACCGACAATGTAGTCGTAATGGGTTTCGGGATTAACGATTACGCTGGCCGGCTCGTTGAAGTGATAATGATAGAGCAACGACGCCAGCAGGATTGCGATCGAGATTGATATGTGGCCCCACATGGCTCCTCTCGCTGAAAATCACACGGAATACACGTCCGGCCGACGGTCGTCGCGCGATAATACTGAGACAACGTGCAAGACAACGCGGAACTGCAGCGGCGACCGCACGTTCGATCCCGATATTAAATTAGTAGCTCTCCGTTCGTAATCGATACTAGTCTATAAGTCTCACTCTATAAGCGGTCCGAAGCATCGCGACAACGACCGGTAGCGCGGCATCGGGAATACATAATTGCTACGTCGAGTAAAACTATATCCGTTGCGATAGGCCACTTCTATTTAAAATTTATAATTTCTATTTTTTATTATTTATAACGCTCTTCTACACACATGCCCGCGCACATACTCTTTAAAATCGTTGCAATATACCATTTCATTTGTTAAAATTGAAATTGTACTGTTTGTTAAAGTGAATTATAAAGAGATAATGCCTTCAAATCTTTCTCATTATAATTTTCTGTTAAGAATTTTTTTATTTTAAAATATGTAAAAGATGCCATCCCCTTTTTATGGTCCTTTTGCTGCTTAAGAGAAGTTACAAAAGTTCAGAGAAATGCAAAGCAAAAGTCGTTTACAAATGCAAAGTTGTACAGTTTATTAAATTAGTTTTTTTTAAAGTAAATTATGTCCATTGCTTGTGCAGTAATCTTTATTAACAAATGTGCAGTACAGCTCTACCTCTTTTATCATTCGAACACTAATTGTAAACCTGTGTTAAAACACAAGCATCATTCACAAGTGGCTATTTGAAAAGAAGCAAAATCAATTACGTAACTTATATATGTATATTTATCGTGAATATTCATATCAGCTTGAACTTTGAGGCGCCCTTCTGCAAAATGTATCGATACATGATATCGTGATTATTCTCTTCCACCGATAACTTTCCTGTGCCTCCATCTGTTTGTCCATTCAGGAACACCATAATAAACACACATGCCCAGTGCCCACGTGCATCGTGTCGGAGTCACTCGGAAATCTCGGAATCTTTCACAACCGCTCGCAAGCTAGCTACTCGCAACATGCGTATAGAATCGTGTTATTTCTGCTCGTCCCGGATATATCCGGGACATGGAATTCAGTTTGTAAGGAACGATTCTAAGGTAAGAGCTGCGCATTTAAGCTAATATTAAATAACACGCTGAACTTGTAGAGTGACCGGAATATCGCGTGTATGTTACTGCATGTTGTTAATGTCGAAGTGAGGTTATGTATCTTATATAAATTGTAACAAAATTGTAAATTCTAAAGTTCTCTATGCAATTGACGTCTCAGATCTTGTGTATTTCGTACTTATGAAGTTTGAGAGAGAAGAAAATTAATCTCTTCGAAAAGAATTATCGCTTTCGGTTTTTCGTAGTTATGATTTTTGATGATTCGCGGCTGGTTTCTGTTTGTCGAAACGATATTGTTGCATTTTGCAAATGATGTTACAGATATTCAAGTTCTGCCGCGCGAAATGTCACGCTGCATTCAAAAAGAAGAAGAATCCCAGAAAAGTCAAATGGACCAAAGCCTACAGGAAGACCGTTGGCAAGGAATTGGGAGTGGATCCGTCGTTCGAGTTCGAAAAGAGGAGGAACGTGCCCGTCAAATATAACAGAGAATTATGGAGTAAGACTATCGAGGCAATAAAGAAGGTAGAAACTATCAGGCAGAGGCGACAGAATCTACACATTATGCAGCGATTACGTAAGGGAAGAGAACTCGAACAAGAGAAAGACATAAAGGAGGTGCAGCGTGACCTGTCTCTCATCCGCTCGCCAGCCGCTGGCCTTAAAGAAAGGAGGAAACAGGAAGAGACAGCCGAAGAACATGAAGAGATGCACGTAGATGAAGATTCTAACAGTGAACTCGAAGCCGAGGAAGTGGAAGTAAATTAAATCGTTGTATATATTTTTATTTACCCCTGTCATTTCATTTTCATATCCCACAAATTACTTCCACTCTGTGTTAATAAATTATAAGTTATAATATACGTTATGTAATAAATCTATGTAGATATAGATTCGATTTTTGTTTGCGTAACAAAAAAAAGCGGAAAATCATCATTGCAAAAACTATAAAAGAATAAAAACTAAAAAGTAATTTTTTTTAACTCCAAATTCGTCCCATCTGTTATTTTTTAATGTCAAGTTCATCAAGACAGATGAAAAAAAATGTTCAACGATATTTTAAACTCTGAATTTTCTTTTTCATCTGAAGGTCCATGTTTCAAGATTTTTTAAGAGATTTCTATAGATGGAGCTACTAGGACTAATCGTGAGCAGACTTAAATGTATTCGTATTTAACACGTACGATATGTTTAACTTGTACGATCTCTATTAACGTCCATTCATTAGATCCGTTTTATTGTCGTCCATGCATTTTGCAAAAGACATACCGGCCGTATAATATTCCCGTCATCGGGAACATTGTAATAAGAATAAATAATGTTCTCCCATTATATCACACAATTGTACAATAGGCGCACATTAAAGCTTCGTGTTTCGACATCAATCGCCTGGCATTGTGCACGGGTATCGTATCTCTTTTAACACGTTTGGTACATGTTAAATACATAATTATGGAACCAATAATACCCGCCTCGATATTCGCGCGTATCATATCGTACTGACAATGAGTAACTCGAATAATACGTAGGATTTATTGCATGTAATATGCATAGACTTTTGTCATAAATCTAAATGAAAGTGAGAAAATGGAATTTCTTTGTGTAAAAAGATTACAAGACAAATTACGTACAGCTTAGGAACATCAGAGAGAATATTATAATGCTTAAGAGTCCAAGAGATGATTCATTAAAAATAAAATCCTTTCTAATGTATTTTTAGAAAATCTTGAAGGCATCTTTATAAGACTTTTGACCACACATGTTGTTTCACATGTATGTTAAAATTAATCCCTCCTAATTCATATCGTAATAAATTAAATGGGATCTCTAAGTGTCTCTCGTAGAGAAAAAGAAAGAAAAAAAAAGAAACGAACAGTCTCTCCGTATTCAAAATTTCTCTCAGCGGCCACACCACGGGATCCGTGCATCGCTTCTTTTATGACACGGGCTTTCATAGGACCCGCACGTCGCCGAGGTGCGACCGCGCCTCGATGACACTGTAAACACTCGCAAGGTGTTTCCAGCAATTACCAGGCAAACCACGGCGCGATGTTTGCCCGCGAGCGAAAAGCCTTGTAGGACGCGCTCAAAAGGGAGCACCGCGACCGGCTTCGGGGCGCGGCACTCGTGTTACGCGTACAAAAAAATATTTTCACGGGCGTGAGCTTGCAGATTCCGGAAGGAGGAGGACGCGCCGCGACCGATCCCTTCGACGAAACGATCTTTTTGAGCCTCGCCGACGGCGACTTGTAAAGGCACTAAGGACTGAAATCGCCTGGTAACGCGACACTGATCGGGTCCGGATCGATTGGAGAATTTGTAGACGACAAACCGGCGGTTCTTTTTTCTCATATCTACGTCGGAAATGTCACATCGTAATGTGCACTCTATGCACGTGTAAATCGAATTAACAAAACAAAGATTTCGTTCTTTTATTTAAAAAAATAATAATAACATAAGATTAAATAGCGCGATAAAATATTTAAAAGTAATAAAAAAAGGACAAATCGCAATTTTTAGAATACAAAATACACTCTTTACGACGTGCATGCGAGAATTAAATACGTCACGTTCATGATGTTCAAGCGCATCTTTCCCGAGTATCTCTCGAGGATCCCTCGAGGGACCGCGTGCGCGAGGATTTCGTACGGCACCCGAAATTTGCTTCGCGGCCACACGCGATGCGGTGCGTCGGTGTGTTTGCTAAGGAAACAGCCTGCAACACCGGAATACATGACGCGCATGTTACGAATCGTGATACAGCGATACTCGCGTGCGGCCGAGTAACAAAAGGAAAAGCGCGTCGTCGTTGCATCTACTTCAATCGATTGATCAATAGTCCTTCTCGCGTATTGTACGTCTGATAAAGCCATTCTCGTGTCGAACAATGTCTTAGGAACGATCATTTTACACTACGTGATAGGGAGTTATTTCTCTCGAGGAAGAATTTATATACTTTGCTACACGCGAGACACAGTTAATTAGCGGAGATATTTACATTATTACTTCATCTTCGTGTAAAGAATAATTTTCAACAGGTGTACGTTTCTTTGTTCTATTATTGCAAGAGGCGTCAAGTATGTTTTACGAGTATTCACACGATTTTTTTTTATTCTCGCAACAATTGATTTATCATTATATTATTTATCATTATATTATAATAATTATGATCAAGATATATGTACCATTTTATTGTCCATTTAGCAATTCCCTTTTATGTCACCCACGCAGCTCCGGATGTGAGAAGGCCAGGAAGGTGAGAAGGACATGAAAAGAACGTCGAAGCCGTTGACAAAACCGACATTATCCGGGTCCTGCCAACGTTTATGTAATCGTCGTCGCGTATCGTAGGAAGGTCCTTGTAATAACATCTACTGAGGTCACGAGAGCAACATAAATAAATAAGGTGACCGCGCGGACGATTGGAGAAATAGTTTGCCCAGATTCCTGAGTCTCCGGCATTCGGTTGAACAATATTATTTTATGACGACTCCAACGGTTCTGGAAATACCTTTAGATCTCACCGCTGCAGTTCGTAATTGTACCCGCGTGTATACGTGACTCGATTAATTAATACGCGGTGCGCATTTCAAGGTTTACGAGACGCCGATAATCGTGGAACCGCCTTTTAACTGTAGTATTTGTACACACAACATTTTTTTATCCACCCCCGTTAAATCTGGTGTGAATCGCGCGGTCGCTTTCACAGTGAGCTACATTGTTATACCAAATCGACCGGAATCGTTAATCTTCCGGTATGTTTTCTTAACGCCGGTATAGCTTCATTTTCTCGAGTTCGGTCGCGTGGAAAGCTATAACGGTTCGAGCTCGTAAACATTACGGTTAAAAGGCACTAAGCTCTGTCAGACGGCGAGGCACGTTTAATTAAATTTCGATGTCGCGTCTTATCACAATGGGATTCAAAATGGGATGAATCTACCGATAAAGACCTAACTCACGCCGCTTTCACAGTCCACCGCTTGGGAATTCTCTTTTCCTTTTCTCTCTTCCTTCCCCCCCCCCTCTCTCTCTCTCTGCTATGTTTACAGGGATAGTGAAAATATAACCGACACATCGTTAAATTCAAGATACAGTTGTTAGATATGTTACTTTAAAACATTTATATTCAATGTTTTTTTGAAACTGAATTCTTATGTGACCTTTTTAATCCTTAGCTCGCCATATATGGATAGCTCGTCGTTTGGTAATATTATTTATTTTGTCACACCTTTATCATGAAACACAAGATTCAACTTTCTTTACATTAAACTCTCCGATCTAAAAGTAGTCGCGGTTCCTTCCAAGACTCATATAGCAAACGCAAGAGACTCCGGTTCACGGACCCAAGAGGTCCACGATTAGCTCGATCTCAGTGATACGGTCGGTGATTTGCGACAGTGCAGTGACTTGCCATAGCGTCGACTGTTATCTACGCCTAGCGTCTCGTCCGTTTCTCTTAATTTGGGCCCACGCACGGTGGACAGACCTCGAGACCCGCGCTCACCTATGTACTTCGGTCTGATGGGGCTAGATAGCTGGGGCAGCGCGATCACCTGGCCATTCACGACCGATAATGGATAAGGGGGAAATGCCAAGTGTTTCCGAAAGCAGCATACCTAATTACCTACCCAGAGGGAGAGGATGCAGCCTATACCGGAGAGAGATGAATGTTTGACATTCCTGTCGCAGCCCCTGTTGATAAGGCTTTTGGTTACTGGACAATCGGTTCGGATTAAAATAGATCTTGGATTAAAGTAGAGGTGAATGGATAATTGGCTCTGCAGCGTAATCTGATCGAAATAACGACAAAAGTAAAAAAAATAACATTATGTTACAATAAATGCATTCATAACTTTATTTGTTTGAAAAATAATAAAAAGAGGACTAGCGAGCCTGACTCGGTGTCAAAAATTATTATAATTCAAATATGTTTAATACATGGGAAAACAAAACCTAAACATTTCGACCTTTAAATAGCGGTCATCCTCAGTAGAACTATTTATAATTGCAGCGTCAACAAATGTTATAAATAGTTCTGCTGTAGATGATCGCTATTTAAGGGTCAAAACGTTTAGGTTTTGTTTCTCATGTATTAAACATATTTGAATTATAATAATTTTTGACACGAACACCGAGTCAGGCTTACTAGCTCTCTTTTTATTATTTTTGATTTTGATCTTTGAGCCGATCTTTAATCTTTTTAAGTTCTTCTTTGTAATTTTTATTCGTTTGATTATTTCATTTCTATTCTTTTGTATCTTACTTTAATGTTGAAACATTGTTTTTGTTTTAATCGTTATTTTTTTTTTCATATGTGGAATTTTTATATTTTTATTTTGTTTCCTTTGTTATTCTATTACGAGGGATTGAATCGTACGGGACATTCTATGGGCGCATTCTAGCGCGCGTGTGCGTTCTCGCTTGCGTTCATTCGAGCACTGTCGCCGTTTAAACGGATTAGATGGGATCTCCGATTGAGTTTCCTCGACCCAAGTCGGCATTTGGATCATCCGCGGCGAACGTAAAGATGGTGTCGAGGCGACGGATTCGCTTGTTTGCACACCATCGATGTTGTCTACTATCCCGATCAACGCCGGTTAATGTCATCTTAGATCTTATCCGAAACAAGATTTAGGATTCGTCTGTATTAAACGCGATCGACCGTGAAAGATATTTGGAAAGATTTGTTTTATGCCCCCCAAGCTCTTCCTGGATCCCTTTAAAGCACTTGGATCTCGTCTACTCTTGATAAGCATTAAATAATCACGCGTGTAAGCCAATTAGAATTCTAAATATTTTAAGAAGTCAATAAAATTGCAGTAGTTAGCCCTAACGTCGTTCTTAACCCGAAGTAATCTCGTTCGCCCGAATAATCGACGTTTCAGGGCGCGTTGATACATTAAACATGAACATTAATTGTTTTAAAAAGTGTAAATCGCATGCGAAGGAACGCATACCTCGAGTGCCACGCAC